GGACGAGAAAGAGGAACTAATCGCCCTCGTTCGAGAGTATATCGACGTTTTCGCTTGGAATTACGAAGATATGCCGGGACTCGACCCAGATGTAGCAATGCATAGCCTTAACATAAAATCGGATGCTAAACCTATCAAGCAACAACAAAGACGGTTTCGTCCGCAGATTATGGAGGCGATAGAAGCTGAAGTCAAAAAGCTAATCGATTCAGGATTTGTCAGAGAGGAACAACACCCCGAATGGTTGGCCAATATCGTTCCAGTCCTCAAAAAGAACGGAAAAATCAGAATCTGCATTGACTTCAGAGATCTGAATACGGTCTGTCCCAAAGATGACTTTCCTCTACCGATCACGGATGTCATCATCGACAACACACGCGGGTTCGAGAGAATGTCATTCATGGATGGATTTTCTGGGTATAATCAAATCAAGATGCACCCGGATGATGAAAAGCATACAGCATTCAGAACACCCCTAGGTGTCTTCTGTTATACTGTTATGCCATTTGGTTTGAAGAATGCCGGTGCTACCTACCAACGAGCAATGACGAAGATCTTTCAAGAGCACCTCCGGAAGACTGTCGAATGCTACGTTGATGACCTGGTCGTTAAGAGTCGCGATAAAAACGACCACATCAATGATTTGAAGACGATGTTCGAGCTTATGAGAACTCATCAACTGAAAATGAACCCGACTAAATCCTTCCTTGGAATGTCCAGCGGTAAATTCCTCGGGTTCGTCGTCACCACAAAAGGTATTCACATTGATCCTGATAAAGTGAAGGCGATAAACGAATTGCAGCCTCCAAGAAATCTTAAAGAACACAGAGGATTGCAAGGTCGATTGGCATATATCCGCCGGTTTATATCGAACTTGTCCGGAAAATGTCAATCGTTTTCCAAACTCGCAAAGAAAGGTGTGTCGTTCATTTGGGATGAAGCTTGTCAGAAAGCATTCGAAGATATTAAAACATATCTAGCGAATCCACCTATTCTCGTTGCACCGAAATCGGGCAGACCGTTTTTTATTTATGTCAAAGCGACGAGCCATTCGTTAAGTGCATTACTCGCACAAGACGACGATAACGGTCACGAACAAGCGGTATATTATCTAAGTCGCACATTGGTAGGAGCTGAGTCTCGTTATCCAATGATTGAGAAGGAATGCCTCGCTTTGGTATTCGTGATTCAGAAAATGCGATATTATTTAGTCAGACAGACGATTTATGTCATTTCCAACATAAATCCCGTCCGAATGTTCATGACCCAACTGGCTTCCATGAATTGGTGGTTGGCCAGATGGGCTTTACTCCTATCGCAATATGACTTGTACTTTAAGCAACAGAAATCTGTTAAAGGACGAGCTATTTGCGATCTTCTGGCGGAAAACCCTACGAAGGATGTAGTCGAATTGTACGACGATCTGCCAGATGAAACTCACGAAGTTAATACCACCTCATATCAACAAGTGTGGCAATTGTACTTCGATGGGGCTTCCCGATCAACCAATGTGGCAAGTGCACCCGGATGTTCTAAAATCTCCTCAGGAGTGGGGGTCGTTTTAGTTTCCCCGGAAAAGCACGTCTTGCCTAGAGCATATTCACTGACCGAACCGTGCTCTAATAATGTGGCTGAATACAATGCATTAATAATCAGACTTAATTTCGCCAAAGAGCTGGGGGTCGAATACCTTGAAACTTTTGGAGATTCTCAACTGATAGTTAATCAAATACGAGGAGAGTATGAAGTCAGAAATCGAGACCTGATTCCATACCACCAGGTGGCCATTGAGATGGCAAGCTCGTTTGAAGAATTTTTCATCGAGTACGTTCCGCGTCTCCAAAACGCATACGCAGACGCATTGGCAGCATTGTCAGTATCCTTGGCCCAACCTCCCGAAACAGAGCAATTGATTACAGTGAGGACTCACCAGCTTATTGTTCCAATCTACAATTCGAATGTTAAAGAGGCTTGCTCAACAAGAGTTGAACCCGAAATTCGAGATTGGCGTTTTCCCATTATCGACTACGTCTTACATGGTATATTACCTGAAGATGTAAGAGAAAGGGAATCGATTCGGCGAAGAGCACTGAGATTTTATTACAATGCCACATTGCAAACGTTGTATCGACGAGCTTATGATGGTCTTTTACTTCGTTGTCTATCCAGCAAAGAAGCAGAACAAGCACTCAAAGAGGCACATAATGGGATATGCGGTGCACATCAGCCCGGTCCTAAACTCTGTGATCGACTTAGGAGAATCGGGTATTATTGGCCAACTATGGTAAAAGACGCAGTCGACTACGCACGACAATGTGAAGCGTGTCAATTGCATGCAAATTATATGCACATACCCCCTGAATATCTACATCCTTCGACGACATCGTGGCCGTTCGAAACTTGGGGAATGGATATAGTAGGTCCAATTTTTCCGCCTTCGGTTAAAGGGGACCGTTTCATTTTGGCAATCACCGATTATTTCTCGAAATGGGCAGAAGCAGTTCCACTTAGAGAAGTAAAGACGACCAATGTCATCAAATTTATCAAACACCATATCATATATCGATACGGTGTTCCGAGGCGAATAGTGCACGACAACGGTCCTCAGTTCGTGAGCAACGCATTCATCAAGTTCTGCGGTAAATTCGGGATTAAAGACGTTTCGTCGACTGCTTATAATCCTACAGCTAACGGATTGGCCGAAGCTTTTAACAAGACTATCATCAAAATTCTGGCAAAATTGGTGAAAACCAATAAACGAGATTGGAACGACAAACTCGGCGAAGCTCTCTGGGCTTATCGTACAACCGTCCGCACGCCTACCGGAGCCACCCCGTATGCTTTAACGTATGGGTGTGAGGCCGTCCTTCCATTGGAGATACAGAGTCCTTCCTTCCGTATCGTTCTTACAACGGGAATGACGACGGAAGAACATCATCAGAAACGTCTCGAAGAATTAGAGATGTTAGATGAGAAACGCTTGGAAGCTCAACAACAAATCGAGTTTTATCAAGCTAGAATTTCTCGGGCTTTCGATAAAAAGGTCCGACGACGAAGCTTTAAAGAAGGAGATCTAGTTCTCGCCGTTCGAAGACCTATGATTCTCACTTCTAAGAAGAAAGGCAAATTTGAACCTAAATGGGAAGGACCGTTTGTGATAGAAACAGTCTATTCGAACGGTGCATATCGCCTGGTTACCCAAGATGGCAACAAATTGATGATGCCAATAAATGGGAAGTTCCTGAAAAAATATTATCCGTAATATATTCAGGATAACCTGTGTAAAGCGGGAAGTTCCTAGAGAATCCTATATAGGATATTTCAGGATAACCCGAGATCAGTTCTTGATTGTTTTAAATGAAGACTGATCATGTGAATAATTTATTCTTAATTGTTATAAAAATAATTAAGATCCTCATATTACTTTTGTTGAGATGAGATTCAATTCTGTAAACAGTTAATCTTTCCTCACAAAACCCCTCACCGATCAAATCGATCAACGAAGGGTACACCAAAATCCGTCATGGATTAAAGTTATTTAAATTCCCACTTGGTCAAACCTTACTACAGTTAGGACCACAACCAAAATCCCCTCTCGATTCCTTCAATGAACGAGAGGCCCACAAATTGAACGATCAAACCTTCCTATGGTTAGAATCGTCTCAAAACTCCCACTTGGTCAAACCTTACTACAGTTAGGACCACAGCCAAAATCCCCTTTCGATTTGTTTTGCGAACGAAAGGTCCATTTTTGAATTGAGTAATCAAACATTATGACAGTTAGGATTATTCAAACCAATCCAGATTCTCTAAGTGGAGATTCCACTTTGAGTTTCCTTTTCACTAGGAGATAGAATATAAAATTCTTCCTCTCCGATTTTGGGTTTATCTCTACCAACAAACAAGAGATCAGGAGATAGAATATAAAATTCTTCCTCTCCGATTCTGGGTTTATCTCTACCAACAAACAAGAGACCAGGAGATAGAATATAAAATTCTTCCTCTCCGATTCTGGGTTTATCTCTACCAACAAACAAGAGATTGAGAAATGGAATATATAATTCTGTTTCTCTCCAATTTCGGGTTCATTTTCCTGTATAGGAAATATAACCTACTCTCATTCCAAAATCCATATTGTTCACACATGGGGGAAGTTATCTCTATCCCTTATTAGAGATAAGTCTACATCTAACACATGTAGCCTACATATTCAATATGATAGTTCAAAGTCTAAAAGAGTTTAATTCTTTTAGCGCAACGTTATATGTGAAACGGACTTAGATAATTCACATACTAGCCCGATTCAAACGGTAATCAAGAAAGGCATATCAAATCCGTTGATGGCTGAGGATTTGCCAAAAATCCTATAAGTATTATGGTTATTTATTCTAAACAAGAATGAGTAATCATAATAAAACCTCAATGAGCAAAAAGATTCAATATAATGAGCAAAAAAGTTCACTATATTGACCAAGAATTTTCAAACAAAGCTACAAACAAAAATATGATGTTCTCCGATTACAAGAGTTTATATTGACTAATTTGATTTTCAAGTTTTGACAGCTCTAACGCATAAGCTTGTTCAAGCTCAGCTGTCAGTTTAACTTTGAAGGCTTCTTCATTAACGTTCTGAAGTTCAGCAACCTCTTGTTCTTTCTCAGCAAGTCTCTTATCCTGAATATTCAGTCGCTGATACAGGTTTTCTTCAATTTGAGTTGTCTTCGTCAACTCAGATTCCAAGATTAGCTTCGGCAAGTTGCTTTTCTAAATGAGCTATCTCTGCCCGACGCGACTCCAAGTCACGATACATGTCTACCTTTATTTGTGCTTTCTTGGCAGCGCTCACCTGGAGTTGATTGATGCGAGTTTTCAGTACTTGAAGTTCAGTTTCAACGGATTTCTGAGAATCACGCCATGCCTGTAGCCTCAGGTCCGTTTGAGAAGCGATGTAAGAAGGTGCGCCATTAGCTCGAAAGTTCTGCAACTGTTCAATGTGTTGTTTAAGATCGTAGCCTCAGGTCCATTTCGGAAGTGATGTAAGAAGACGCGCCATTAGCTCGGAAATTCTGCAACTGCTTGATGTGTTGTTTAAGATCAACCAAATAAGCTTCAAGAGAGTTAGACAATTCGGCGCACCCCTGTTCTTTAATTCCTGACACATGATGATCGAGAGACTTCTGGAAAAGTTCAAATGGTGAACCTTTAAGGAGAATCCGATCAACCATGGCGTTTAAGAAAAGAATGAAGCTTTGGATGTCAATGCAAAGGGCAATTTTGTCCGGATCTTCATCTGCCAATAAAGCTCGAATGCAATCGGACAATGATGAAGAAAGATCTGCAAGGAGAAATAGATATAAAATATACACGTTCGCATACGGTAATGAGTAGAATTATCCCAAATTCAAAGTGTGATTACCTTGACTTGTCGAGGCTGAGACCTGCTCCACGACATCCGAAGTTTGTGTAGAGGTAATGCTGGGCGGTGGATTCATTACATCAAGCTGTTGTTCAATTACAATTTTTGACGACTTCGGGTCTAAGTCGCCAAGATCTTGAGGAGCAAGTTCTGTCAATGAGAAAAGAATGAATAAACACTCCGCAAGTATTAATCTAACTGTGAAGCACAATTAGATAAGACGTACCAAGTTGAGCTGAAGTAGCAGGAGGTTGCTCTTCTACCGTAACCTTCGACCCTCCTACTTCATGATCCACTGGAGTCGGAGTAAAAGGCACAACAGGTCCAGCTTCGATAATAGCAGAAGTTGGAGGAGCAGTGGCTGGTGGTTCAACTTCAGCTGGGGGACTTGCCAGAAGTAAGAAACCCAGACCTTCAGGTTGATCACATTCACCGATGACGGTAGACGCATCAACTTCGTTAGTTGGTCCTACGTCTAAAATTCTTATTTCAGTCCTTCAAGAACAATAAAATATGAAAGTACAGCTGAAAACTGGAGTCTAAAAGGGTATACCTTTTGATGCATCTGCTTCAGCTGAATCAACTCGAGTAGTTGGTCCTGTAGTAGCGGATGGAACCGGAGTCGATAGTATATCGGAGATCTCCTGGTGTACATCTTCAGAAATGTCAAGATCGAAGTCTCGCTCATCGAAATCTCCGATACCCATATCATGGATAGGTTCTATGTCTTTCGGTTCGTTGACAGGGATGTCTATCAAGCAGAAGAATCCGTCAACATATATGCAAGAAATATAAAAGAATCAAAGCAAACAAAATAAGGTTACCTGCAATAACAATTGCGAGATCAGCAGCGCTACTATCCGCACTCACCTCCTTTAGTTTAACTAAAAGAAGATAAAGCGCACAAGTTATTAGGAGAGGAACACGTTCCGATTCACTTATCTTCCGGAAATGCCCCCCAAATGAGAAAACATCTGTACCTATGTCAGCAGTTGGCGAGGTCAATGTGGTAGCCGGAGGAGGGACAATGTCCATACTAAGGGGCTCTTCATCAATGGCCTTGTGTACTTGTTCAGTGAAACTGGATTCATCAACATCCATTAAACCTGGAGAAGAAGGCTCGGGCACAATTTCCCCTTCTTCTTCTGATCCAACTGTGATGGGAAAAGAACAAATAAGATGCGATATTCAAAGATGAAATAATGAAAAGAAATAAGAATGAGTTCTTACCCCCTTGATCAATCAGAAGATCCTGAGTGAACTTCTCCTCAAATAACGGAGAAAGTTGGCGTTGCCGATGAGCCGTCTTCTTAATCCTCTTCGAGGCACGAGAATCTCAAGGAACCTCAGAGCTCTCATGTCTAAACTTGGTACGCAATTCGGTTCCTTGAGCTGGCTGAGGTTGAACCTCAGAAGGAGCAGTAGGCCGAGATCTTTTCCTGCTAAGAAGTGGGGTAACCTCTTCTTCTTCTTCTTCTGCCTCTTCCTCCTGAGCAGGCCACCTCACGGTCATCTTATTGGAGGATGATAGGGGAATGTTCTTCTCCATCATCCAAATACCCTTAGAAGGAGCACCGGGTGATTTGGGTGAAGAAGCTCGACGAGTCCTGTGAGCCACGGGAGACAGAGGGACATCAGCCTCTGCTTCATCTCTATTCTCATCCTCTTCACTGGATGTTTCAAAGTCGTCACTTTCTTCAGAATCAGCTACCTGTTTTCCTTTGCGGGAAGATGTAGCAGGTTCCTTTCCTTTTTTAGATACAATTCTCCGAACCACGGCTTCGGATTCTAGTTCGGAAAGCTTCTTCTTCGCAAGAGGAGTGTTGGCGGATAAAATCCACCGGCAATAAACAAAGGTCGTGTGGAGTTCAGGCTCAGCAACAGGCAGACTAAATTGAGCTCCAGTACAGCCGGCAACATTCCAGAACCAGGCTCGAACTCCATCAATGAGGCTCCCGCAGGTTATCAACCATCTGTTGGGGTTCCCGACGTACAGTTGATCGTAGCCGAATTGTCGCGCAAAACGGCAAGGAAAGTAAGGATCGATCCTGCAAAGTTTCTTCGACCGGAAGACATTATAGCCTGGGCGAATGTTCATGAGCCAGTGGAAACTACCCATGTCGAGAGAGGTCCTGTCAGCCCCAGGCATCTCCTCGTCAACAAGAGTGTCATTATAGGCACCAGAAAACTGAGGGAAACACTTGTAGAATTCCCAGCATTTAGCATTCTTGAACTGCCTCACCCGGTCAGCCCACGGTCCGGAAGGATATAACCACTTACATCCCTCTAAGAGCTGCAACAAGGGGATGTCTGGATCAGACGCGTCAGGTGCTGACATCATATCCGCTCGATGGAGAACTAGTCACGCCATTAAATATGTGTACGGCAGTTCGACACTCGACAATGGAATTTTAATTGAAGGCTCGGTACCCACTTTGGTAAAAGTGGTAGCTAGGTTACGCAAACCGCTATGGAGGTCAGCAATCATAGCGGAGAGTAAGGATAACCTACCTCCAACGGTTAGTTGCACGGCGGGAAGAAGAACCTCAAGAGGAAGCGCCTCGGAAGATTGATGCGGCACTACACATTTCTTTAGCCATATGGCCAGATAACCAGAAAGAAGAGTCGCAGGCTTCATTCTCTTGGTGGCTTGCCATAAGAAAGTGCTGAATTTAGTGCCCTTAAGAAAACCGCCTTCAGATGACTCGGTTCTATAAGATTGGGCATTAATCTTCGTAATCAGCCTGTTAACGTCCGAAGGGGTCAGAATCGGTGATTCGCAGACAGCTTCACCGGTCGGGCTCTCGAGATTCTGAAACAAATAGTCAGCGAACTGTTTTAAACTGACTCGAGCTGCCTTCTTACTCTTTACTTTAATCTTGGCTATCGCTATTTGATAGTGACAAGTTAATTCCCAAAGTATGTCATAAGCAGGAGAGCCAGCCTTCTTCATCTTCATGAGCTGACGATTGTTGGGAAAATATTCTTGATAAGGAGTGTTCCCCAATGGCAGTCCAGATACTTGCATCATTTCGTGGAGCGGAAGCCCTAACTCCCCATACTTGGTGAGAAATGTATTGGTCTCCGGAATATAAGACTCGAACAAAGCAAGGAAATGATCTACGCTGACTGGAAGACCATGCATGCTGGCTCGGATCGGAGCATATAACCCCAAATTCCTTAACTCTTGATCCCAACGATTGAGTACATACTTGGTCATCCTAGCCCACCATTTGTCGGGAAGAGAATGAACACATCCATAACATCTAAATTTCGGAATGGGGAGTTCTCGGCTAACCCTAGCGAGCCTATTCTTTACGGTATTGGCCCTTATCATCAGTTCGTTCTGAGGCCCGCTATCTGGTCCAAATATCCCTGGGTGAAGGCCACGGACATTATGCCTGCCAATGGAGCCAGGAGCACTGACATCTTTGCCAATAAATCCACAATGGATATGCTCATGGTCTTCTGTTAGATGCCATGCTATTTTTCTCGAAACAGCCAGATTCCTTAATTGCAGAATTGAATATTGACGAGGGAATGGAGGAAGAAATAGAAAAGAACCTTCATACTCATTCAACCAAATTTCAGAGCCACGGCAGAGATTGTCTGGATCTTCTATCGAATCTCCGAACAGATAGTCAGGCTTCTTCAACGGTTCGGTAGAATCTCTAGTTGGAGTTAAGAGTGAGTCGGTCAGCAAAGCACGCAGGGTACGACGGCCTCCCTCGCGAATCAACTCCGGAACATTATTATCACGATCTTCACTAAATAGAAGGCCACAGAGGGAAAGGGGACTACAAAGAAAAGTTGGAAAACAGTTGAACAAAAAGGCTAACAGATAAGAAAACCCGCACTAAGTAGCCGCAGCGATTATTGTTGTCGCGCGTTACCGCGGCAGTATACGCTGTCGCGTTCCGGCGCGGCAGTACGAGCTGCCGCGGTAACTGAATGGCACCCCTTGTTTTGGAAAACAAGGGTTTGAGCCAAAATTGTATTTTGGCCATGGTGCACATCTTGATTGAACAAGATATGTAGTTTTTTTAGTATCAATCCCCTCGATGGGGGATGTCAACTCTTCCCGGATGCCTCTCAAAGGAGGCAAGCAAGGTTATACGAGCAAAAAAACATCAATTTTGGATAGAAAAGAAGTTGAAAGCTCACCTCCGAACGATGCAGCGGCAGCCTCAACCTCATCAGACGCCTGTGCTGCAGATTTCCCTTTGGGAACCCTGGATTTCTTGGGAGACATGGTGAAATCAACCTAAGAACAAGGAAAATTAGGGTTTAGAGATGAGATCTCGAATTAAATAGCAAAGCAAACATAAAATACAAGAAATGGGCTCGGTTTTACCAGAGGATAGAAGGAATCGAACTCGAAAGATGAGGAAATTGAAGAAAAGGCTCAGAACCCTAGATCTCAAAACCCTAGATCTTGTTCGAGCAAGAAATAACCCAAATATGAAGAGGTGGAGAGGGGAAAAGCCAGAAGATCCTTTTATAGGGTGTTTGAAGAGGTTTCGAACTCAAAAGAGCGGGGAAAAGTGACCCGAAGAAGCCCAACATCAAGTTTATAACTTGACTGGCCGAAGCGCTGCGCGGCACTCGACACTGTCGCGCTCGAGCGCGACAGTCTATGTTGACACACCATGGTTCACTCTGGCGTGCAGAAACACTGTGCATGCACGATAATTCTTCGACGTTTGAACACGTACATCTCCCTCTGTATTTGGAATATATCTCCGGACACTCCGATGAATATATGAGTATAAACTGCATCTCCTTGAACCTCCCAAAGGGTATATGAGGTTAAACTATTTCCCGAACACTCCAATGTAGTATATGAGTATAAACTATTTCTCCATTCTTAAACGGTAGTTCCAATTCAAGACTTCGACAACGGCCACGCGATAAACGTAGCACCGGAGGAATCTTAGCTATTCTACAAAGCACTGAATAAGCTAAAAGATAAAGAAGTCAAGAATTGAAGCCATTCACAGACCATTCTACGCAACTTACTCAACAAAGCACTGGAGAAATTGCAAGGAAAGCTTATCATATCCAAAGTGTCCCAGACTCCTCTCTAAAAAACGATGAGTCTGAGATACTT